ACTTCTAACAGCAAATTGTTACACTTCATTGCATTTAGGGGTATTGGTGAAAAGGGGTTCTACAACAAATGGATATTAATGGATTATGTCAATTTAAAACATCAGAATTTGTGACTGTATTGTGACAAAATATAACAAAGCTCAAGAATGAATCATTTTGCAAAGTGCTCTGTATTTAGCTAAATAAATACAATAAATATATTTATTGCTTTCTGCAACTAAAATCTCAAACAATGCCTTTTGCTTTCACTGTTGAGTTCATTATCCAGTCATGTCTTCATACTCAGCAGTCTGTTAAATGGTTTTCTGCCTTAAGCATCCTCATTGTGTCTGCTCACAGAGGACAGCCTACACCATCGTCCTACAGGAGTGGCTGCGTGTGTCCTGTCACAAGGCGGCCAACACAGCGGTCGTCAAGGCCTACATGGACACCTTCGCCTCCATCTCCCCTCAGCTGCTGGAATTTGTGATCAACATGGCAGATGGCAATGGGAACACGGCGCTGCACTACACTGTCTCACACTCCAACTTCCCTGTGGTCAAACTTCTGCTGGACACTGGTGAGAGTCGAGATATAATGCAACCACAGACCTTGACTCTTCATATATATATCAGTGTGTGTGGAATGGGGTAATGTGACTTTGTGTATGTGAAAGTGTTTCAGGTATTACTGTGGAATTGTTTCATACTGGCGTGACGGCTCTGTAGCATGAGAGCTGGCAGGAAAGTGTTGAACAGTTTTCAATTTGCTTTAAGTATTTTTCAGGTCTGGAAAAGTAATGTATAAAAAACGTTTAAGGGCAAATATCTGCATTTCCAGGCTTTATCGTCTCCTTTACCTCCTAGTTTCCTTCCTTATTCCATTCTTCTATGACTTTACTTTGTTTCCTTCCATGGTACCTAGTATTCTTCATTCTTTCCATCTTTGTTTCATCTCTTCACACTCTTTCCATCTCTTGTGTTCTTCCTTCACTGTTTTTATTTTTCCTTCCGCCTTTCCTTGTGTTATTCCTTTCTCATTTTCTATCTTGTTTTTACACTTTCTTCCTTCCCACCTTGAGCCCTTGCAAAAAGTATTTGCTCAAAATCCTGTTGAGATTTTTGCATTTAAATGTTAAATTGATTAAATGAAAGAATATAAGACTGGACAAATACTCAATAAGTAAGCAAAAATGTGTTTAAACCAAATAACGGGCACAATAATAGTAGAAAATTCCATATTAAGGTATTAATCTGCTCTAATGACTAAGAGATGACGTGTCTTGTATCTCAATGATTAGCCTGTCTTTAGCATGTTATATGATGGGTTTTCCCTGCTGCTGCTCTGCCTTCTGCCACACTGATTGCCCTGTCTACCTGACAGGCCTGTGCAATGCTGACAAGCAGAACAAGGCCGGCTACACAGCCATCATGTTGACGGCTCTGGCTGCCTTTCACTCTGACAGCGACCTCCAAACTGTCCTGCAGCTGCTGCGCACCGGGGACGTCAACGCTAGAGCCAGCCAGGTGCGCCCTCTGCTGCTGCTTACATTTTACTGCACCTTGACGCCTGCAAAAATGCCAATCCAAGTCAAATATTCTTTATGAATATACTTTCAGTAGTTTGACTGTCACAGTCTTAGTGTTCGGATGCACATGTGTGTTTCCAGGCTGGTCAGACAGCGCTGATGCTCGCCGTGAGTCACGGACGTGGGGATATGGTCCGGGCGCTGTTGTCCTGTGGAGCTCAGGTCAACATCCGTGATGATGATGGCTCCACTGCCCTGATGTGTGCCTGTGAGCATGGTCATGTGGACATTGTTCGTCAGCTACTCTCTGTCCCAGGCTGTGATGCAACACTCACCGATAACGTAAGCAAACCTGGTCCACCTCTCACTGTTCCCAGTGTTTGCTGCTATGTAGTTTTCATCTCATTGTGTTATGCAGGACGGCAGCACTGCTCTGTCCATCGCTCTGGAGGCCAGCCAAAACGACATTGCTGTACTTCTGTATGCCCACCTGAACTTTGCCAAGCCTCCTTCACCTGTGAGTACTAAGTTAGGCTGGTAAAATACTATTATCTAGCTATTTTTCAATGGTTCCAAATGAAGGTCAATGTCAAAGTACAAAATGTTTTAAATTGTTAGCCTTGGAAATTCTCTTGCGGGGAGGAATGTGCCAGGCTCAGGTAAATTACAAGGTCACTGTCAACTCACTGACTGCTGAATGCCTGGGTCTTGAACTAGAAATGCAATAAAATAAGAAAGATGAACCCCATTGTATTAATTCTGTTTATTTACAGGTCTTTTATCATTAGCTTAAATCTGGATATTCACATTTATTTGTACTAGAAGCTGCATACAATTTATTACTTCAGATGTTGCATATCGTAATGTATGTTCTAAGGACACTTGGCTTCTTGCATGCACTCAGAAAATATAAAAGTTCTCTACTTCTGTTTATGTATTGACTGATTTTTGTTTATTTGCTCTTTCTAGGTGTCACCTAAGTCTCCTCTCTTGGGTTCCTCTCCTCCATCTGGTGAACCAAAATAAAACTCGTCTTCTGCAGCTCGCAGCAGCTTCCACTCGTGTTTCTCCCTCCATGTAATTTAGAAAAAAACAGCATGTCTGTTCATGTGTTTGTTTCACTCTGAAAGTTTTCGGTACATCACATTGTGCATATAATAATAACATGACAGCTTAAAACATTGTCATATGTTAGTTTTGTTCCATCTTTGTCATCCAGTCTCATCAGTCTAACATTGTAACGTTCAGTTCTTTACACTGTTATTTTGGTGGCACTTAAGTCAAAACTGTTAACAAATTTCATTATCCTGATTATGTTGAGTCATTTTTCATTTTATTCATCATCTGTCTCATTTGAGATTCTATTAGGGAACAAATCTGTTAGGCTTATTATCATTATGTGAGATCATTACTGCCATTTGGAATAACAAAAGCCAGCCCTCTCATAAGTGTCCTTGCATCAACTAGCTCATTGGTGCTACTAAATAATAAAACAAAAGACACCACCTCCACATTCTGTTGATATTTATACACAGGATTTATTTACAGAGTATTTTTCTATCTTTTTTTAATTATTATTCTTTTTCAGAACCTCTGATTCTAATCTCGTTTCCTACGCAGCGGTAAATGTCTAACCAGATGATGACTAAACATTTTATGTATTGGCAAATTATACCAAAAGATTTGTCTCTTCCCTCAACTTTAAGACTGTGTGTAATATATAGTCTTTTTTTAATTTATAGTCAGGAAGGTATCTTCAGCAGTGGTAAGAAGAGATTAGATTGTATCTGCTTATGCAACGTGTTTTTGTAAGATTAACTGGGTTGAACAGTGACTGAAGATGCTAGAGAAGCTTGTAGGTCTTGTCAGGGAAACGGCAAGTGAGTGTGCTGAGTTTTAAGTGTGTCTTGTGTAAGATATGAATACTGAAATAATATATGTCAATGCAAACTCAGAATGGTTATGCCTAAAGTCTAACTTGATTGAAGTGTGTAGGCTGTTGATGTCAAAATATCTTTTACTTTTTAAAGTTTTTTTTTCCCACTTTTTTCATATCCACTTTTTAGTGAAGAATTTTTGATAAACTTTGGAGTTTTTAATTTAAGTGTCTATCCTTTTTATACATACCGAGTTTTTAACCTCACTCCAATTGTATGTAATGGCACAATTCAGTTTTTTTCTCTGCTGGTTTCTGTAAATTATAGACTCTGTCCTCTGTAATATGTGCGTTTTGAAAAACTACTTAATAAATGTGGAACACGTGCTTGTCTCTTGTTCATTCAAGATTCAGGGTGTTTGTGCATCCTTCAATTTGTACATCTGAAAACTGAGGCCTTAAAATGTTTGAAATTTATTGAAGAACTAGTTTCCTGGAAGCCTGACATTGCAACACACAAAAAAACTATGCTTGATATATCTCTCTGAATAGTCTGTTTTAAAATAGCTTTAATAAAATAGACGGCTCTGGCTGCCTTTCACTCTGACAGCGAAAGGTTTTAGACAGATCCCCACCAAAATAACATATACTTTAGTCTTATACATTTGACCCCTTTTCTCAAACAACAATGAAGTCATCTTTGATAAACTTACGAGTTGTAATCTTTGAGAAAAACACTGTGGCAGCAGCAGCTGTCGGCTCTAGACAGCTGCTTGTTATTGGGAGGAGCTGATAAGACTACTGGATCCATAGCAAGTGAGTTTACATCTTTACAGCTGAAGTTTGAAACAAAAAGACTAAAAGTCAAAAAAATGAAGTGAGATAATATTTGTATTAATCCTGTCTTGTTAAAAGCACATTTACTGCCCATCCTTATTTTTATTTTTTTTTTTTTATTTTTTTGCTTCTTCAGAGCTTTACTCCTCTTCTACAAGAAGAACATAGACTAGAAGTATAACAGGGAGGTCAAAGCACAACCCTATCAGCTAAACTAGAAATGAGACTTATCTCTCCACTAAGTGTGGATCCAGCCCTGCAGGTGCAGTGCAGTTGATTAGATTAAGCTCGAGCATATATTTTGGCTGCAGGGGCCAGAAAGTAACTAAATTCAACATCTTGGAATGTTTCCAGACAAATCTAATAATATTTCCCCGACTGCAGAGCCTGGATTTCAAAATTTGCCTGGATCTTCTCTGTGTGTGTTCTTGAATTGTTCTTTAAGAGGCTGATCTCTGTCTATAAAGCTATGATAATAAGTGACTAACTAAACTATATGCATTATGACATAAACTGTTTGCTATTTTTATTGTAAAAACTGAAAATGTAATCATTTTCTTAGTCCTAAAATCTGATCTAGGGTTGGAATTTGATTTTTTGAGAAAACCTAAATCCATTTTATCCAAATCATATAAACAATTTCAACAAAAGGTTATTTAATGTCAAATAAATGTTTTATCCAGGGGAAGATCATTTTAAATGGTATAGCTTGCCATTATCTTTTTATTGTAACATACCAGTTCGTGGAGTTGAAAATCCTTTTAAGAAGGACAATTCTGTTTATATTACCCTGAATGAAGCGCTGCTATTGGACGGCCTCTCTTAGGGAAGGTCCTGTGAAAGAGGTGTCCTCCCTCTTTCACGGTCTTAAAAGCCCAGGATCTCGATTCAGCAGGGTACTCAAAACTGCTAAAATGACTACCCTTACTGCCAAGGACAAGGACACCGTCAAGGCCTTCTGGGGAAAGATTTCTCCCAAAGCAGCAGACATTGGAGCAGATGCTCTTGGCAGGTAAATGTGACAAAAATCTTCCAATTCCAGCCTCTCACTGTTTTAAATTTTCCCACCCACTTTTCTTGTTTTCTGACCTTTTAGGATGCTGGTGGTTTACCCACAAACCAAGACCTACTTTGCCCACTGGAAGGACTTGAACCCCGGATCTGCTCCTGTGGCAAAGCATGGAGCAACGGTGATGGGTGGAGTTGCTGAAGCTGTGGCCAAAATCGACAATCTGACCGCAGGTCTGCTCAACCTGAGCGAGCTGCATGCCTTCACTCTGAGAGTGGATCCTGCTAACTTCAAGGTGAAGACTCTGAGCTTTGAATATATCCTTATTGTCTCCTTCTATCACATCTGACAGGGGTTGTAGTTGCTAAGACAGATTATAACTTGTTATGTTTACCTTGCAGGTTCTTGCCCACAACATCCTTGTGGTTTTGGCCATCAGCTTCCCCAACGACTTCACCCCTGAGGTCCATGTAGCCATGGATAAGTTCCTGGCTGCCGTGGCTCTGGCTCTGTCCGAGAAGTACAGATGAACACCTGGAGAGGAAGAGAATCTACATCAGTTCATTCTTGATGTGATGAATAAATGCATAAAAACAAAAACCCTAAAAAAAATGATTATCTGGTTCTTTTTGCTCTGTGTGCAAAATCCTTCATGTGGTTTGAAAATTCTGTCACATTCATAGTCATATCAGATGAAATGCATCATTAATACTTGGTTTAATCAGCCTTCAGATCTGGAAATTGGGATACAGACATTATATTTGCATTTGAAATGTTTTGCCTTTTATTTTACAATTATGCCTATGAACTGTTTGTGTCAATGGTGCAGTGAAGGTGTTTGTGTCGTATATAATAAATTAAAACATTATAAAATGTCCCAGTATATTTTGATTAGTCAATTGGTTCAATTAATTATCCTCCTCAGTGCAATCTTGATAACAATAGTTCATCATAATCAGAGCCGCAATTTTTGAAAATACTTTGTAATTGAGGCCATTTATGTAAACAAAACAGGTAAATCTCAGTCAGTATAAAATCTAATTTAAAATCTATTTAATTTTAGTATTTCACTCACACACAACAGAAAAGCTTCATATTAAATAAATTCATTACAAACATGTTGGACATGTGAAAAGCATTCACATGGTTTAAACGCTTTCCCAAATTTGATGTAGTAACCAAAGCTGCGATGTATTTAAATGGAATTTCATACTATTGACCACATTCTAAGCTTAAACTGCAAATCTGAATGATTCTTTCTGTTATGCACTGAAGCCGGTTTTCCAAGCTGCAAGTGTAAAATCATATTCCTTTAAACAAGATGCAAATGAGAGAAAATTAGAAAATGAAAACCTTTAATTCTAACAGTCAATTTCCCATTTTCTAACTATCCTGACCATCCACACCATTATTTTTTACTATTTTTGAATATTTTGTCATATAGAACTGAGTAAGTTTGAATAATATTTTGTAAGTCAAAGAAATTTCAGAGACAGTGAAAGATTTTATCTCAGAAACCGTTGCTCAGGATTACTCAGACCGCCTCTTGTGGACCGTTTCAGGGGAGGTGCTGCTGGGTGTTTCCTCTGCTGCCTCTCAGACAAGTAGCCCTCGCGCTTAGCTGGTTAGTTAGTTGGTTACTGAAACAGCCAAAATGACTACCCTTACTGCCAAGGACAAGGACACCGTCAAGGCCTTCTGGGGAAAGATATCTTCCAAGGCAGCAGCCATTGGAGCAGATGCTCTTGGCAGGTAAATGACACCTGAAACCTTTGAATTTCAACAACTTTTTGTTGAAAAAGTTACCCACCCATTCTACTCTTCCACTCAGGATGCTGGTGGTTTACCCACAAACCAAGACCTACTTCGCTCACTGGAAGGACATGAGTCCCGGCTCTGCTCCAGTCAAGAAGCATGGAGCTACAGTGATGGCTGGAGTTGCTGACGCTGTGGCTAAAATCGACGATCTGACTGCAGGTCTGCTCACCCTGAGCGAGCTGCATGCCTTCAAGCTGAGAGTGGACCCCGCCAACTTTAAGGTGAACATTCAGAGCTAAGACTGTGCTTTAAGCTGTGTATTGGTCCTTTTTTTTTCTCATCTTCTAACAGTATGTAGTCCTTATTTTTCTTGTTCAAGCACTTTGAATTGTCTTTGGCTGAAAGGTGCTATATAAATAAAGTTGCCTTGCCTTCTTTTTCTGCTCGTATGAAGCCTTTTCTCATCACTTGTTTTTCACAGATTCTTGCCCACAATCTTCTTGTGGTTTTGGCCATCAGCTTCCCCAACGACTTCACCCCTGAGGTCCATGTGGCCATGGATAAGTTCCTGGCTGCCGTGGCGCTGGCTCTGTACAGATACAGATGGAGAGGAGATCCAGACACATGAATTCACCTGGTGTGATCAATAAAGGCATGGTTGAAAAAACGCAAAATGTTGACTTCTGGTTCTTTAGTGAAAATTTGTGTCCTGTTTTCACAGAAAAGTTTTTTTTTAAGAAGAGAAAGGTTGCAATATCTAGGAAATTACTCTTGATCTTAAATGATAATTTACTCTTATTAATTATGTTTCTTAACTAGGCTAAAAGATTTCAAAAAGGAAGAAATAAAATATCAACCTCCAACATCTATCAGTTTGGAGAGGCCTTATTAATAAACAGAAACAAAGGAGCAGAGGGGACAATTTCCAAGACCGCAACATATTGGGAACTTCAATGTTTTTGGGAAAATATTTCTTAAATAGGAACAATTCTCTGGTGAGTTCTGGGTTGAAACAAGCTTGTTCTTCATTCAGTGAACTTCCTCTCTGTCGATGGAGCATCCAGCGATTTTACTCAAGTAAAAATAACGTTACTTCATAATTATATTACTCAAGAAAAAGTAAACAGCGCTCCAAAACTGCTCCTAAAAGTAGCCTCCTTTTTTTTTCAATATTATTAAAGTAAATGTGACACGAAGATAACAACTGCCGTCATGGACTCCTCTTTTTCTGGCTTTTGATGCGCTAACTCTATAGCTTTTTCACAGGATTTTCTACTTATTTGAGATGCAAATTCAAAGAATTGCATACTTTGTTTACATAGTGAAAAAGCCAAACAGTAGCTGCAATCAGAAGTTTTGCTTTTCTTCTTGAATCCCCATTGTATTGTAGAATTGAAGCCTCCCCCCAGGCGCACCTTGGCGCTCTCCAAGGTGCTGCTCCTCCTGTCGTTTGTTTACTGAATTTCATCCAGCAACCAGAATAGCTCCAGAGAGCACGGTGTTAATTCAACTGGCTCATGTGTGTCTCGATTTTCTTGTCACTGCCATGAGAAAAGATTAAATGTATCTTTACAATTTTTAATCCTACTTATCAGAAAATGTTTGTTTGAATCAGAGGACAGAAAGCCTGCAAAATCTCTTTATAATCCGTGTAAAATTTTATTATTATTATTATTATTATTATTATTATTATTATTATTATTATTATTATTATTATTATTATTATTATTATTATTATTACTGCATGGCACTCAGGAGCAAGTTTTAGACGTGGATCCCGTCAACTAATTCATGTGTCGTATTGAGTCCAGCCTGGCGTCGTTTTAATATTTCCAGCAGAGGGCGCCCAAGCATCATTCAACTAACTAATAGGATTCTTGTTTTAACCTCTGCGAAGGATTTCCAACCTGCAGGGTCCCTTCTCTCGCCCAATGGCTCCTGGAAATAAGCATCAGCAAGGAAACGTAGATTTAGGAAACGAATGGAATGAATCAAATCAAAATCAGCTAAGAGTAAGAAAAGGGTTAAAAGAAAAGCCTCAGTTAGACACAATTTCAGTACTTGTTAAGTATTTAATAAGTTGAGAATGTGAGACAGATTGTACTTGTTTCTTTCTTGTTTTTAAATGCAATCCCTTTACCTTTGCTCCTTTACTTCTCTGTGAAGCACTTTCAATAACCCTTGCTACAAATGGACACTGTTGTACTAATGTCCTGTATTTGAGTGATTGCAAAACCACATAACTTTAATTATTGAGTCAAAAAAATGTCATCAACAAAGCAGAAAAGTTAAGCAGTTTTGAAGAGTGAATAGAGGATTATATGATAGTATTTTTGTCTAAAACACACACTTACTGGCACCATAAAGAAGGTCCTCACTTAGTTTAATTCAAAAACCGAAAAAATAATGAATGACCTGAAATTTTTATATTAGTCTACTCTATATTTTTACACACAAATTATGTATCAATTTTTAAGCTGTAAATGACAGAAAAACAACATTTATTTGGATGTTTAGGACCTATTGTGTAACTGACTGGAATAACCTGTTTGCTTGTTTGTCCATTTGAGGATTCCTATTAGTCTTTATCTTAGTCGAGACTCTTCTAGCCTGCAGCCAAACCAAATTAACTGAATACAATTAAGAGGACAGAGCAAACATCATCAACAAGAAGAATGGAATATTAAACATTAGATTTTAACTTATTTAATAAGTTTGTCTGTGCCACATGACGTAAACCTATGCAGTAATTGCACATTAGTTAAATAATAATAAACAAAGATGCCAGCTTGAAGGTGGGGATGCTTTTCTCTTGCAGGAGCTTAGAAATGGAAATAGATAGACATAGATTGGTTCTTTTGTTTTTGTCCTGTAGGTTTTCTATGCTTATTTAAATTTGAGCAATTAAAGATCCAGGTTCACTTCTAAAACTGATTCTTCTTGCTGAGAAGCTATTTGTTTGTGTCAGTGGTGTCCAGATTTTTACCATGAGGGTAGAAATATTATGTTGAAAATTTTCAGGAGCCACAAAATTGTAATTCTAATTCGCTTTTAAAAATTGAAGAAGATATTTAAATCTATGCTGAACATAATTAGAGTTAATAGGGGGGAAATATAAAAACAGGTTATGGCTCATACAGCTCATGAGCTTGGCAAATTGGCACACCCAGTTTGCTCTGTAGTAAAAGTCTCTGGGTGTTTGTAGTCAAAAGCATAAGCATCACTGATTAGAGAGCAATGCTTCATGTTGTGTCTGACATCTTCAAAAATATTTACATTTTTCTATATCCTTTTCTTAAAGGCTTCACATCGATGAAAATGGCACTCTAACATATGTTGCTTCAATGTGTATCTGCATCAACCGCCTTCCTGGCAAACAAATAAATGTTTGTTCAAAGCTTAAATTATTAAATTATTGAAGTCTGAAAACTCTTCATGCTGCTTGAGTATTTATTTATTTATTTATTTATTATTTATTTATTTATTTATTTATTTATTTATTTATTATTCTAATATTATTTTAAATTAAATGAAATTATTTCAAAATGTCTGCCTTTCTTAATTACTAAAGTCATTGAACAATAATGCGCTTTTCCCCATGTGCATTTCGGTGCAGTTTCGGTGCAGGCACTTTGCCTTTTCCAAGAAAGTTTCTACAAATACCTTGACCTCTGCAGTTGCAGACCCAATCAATTTTACAATGACAAAAAAAAAAAAAAAAAATACACAAATCGGAAAGAACAGCAGAAAACAAAAACTGAGAATGAACATCCTCGGATGTCTGTTTTTTTTATTTTTTATTGAATGTGTCTCCACATGTCTGGTAGAGTGTTGAGGATGTGGGATGGTGAAACTCCTGTTTCACACAATCAGTGCGACTTTAGCGGTACTTCTCAGACAGAGCAAAGGCCACGTTCTGCAGGAACTTTTCCACGGAAAGGTGAACCTCAGGAGTGAAGTCAGCAGGGAAGTACATGGCCAAGACCAAAACGATGTTGTGGCCCAGGATCTGAAGATTACAAACACACACACAAAGATTGAATATCATGGAGCAGAAACTAAACGCACACATGATCATGATTACGCGAGTAAATTCAGAAGAGATTTGAAGTATGCCTTGAAATTTGCAGGATCCACCCGGAGTTTGAAGGCATGAAGCTCGCTGAGGGAGGCCAGAGTGCCAGTGAGATCGTCGATGCCCTTGACAGCTTTTCCCAAGGCTGCCATGATGGTGGCACCATGCTTCTTCACTTTGGCGGACTGGGGGCTCAGATCTCCCCAGTGCGAGAAGTAGGTTTTAGTTTGTGGGTAGGAAACAAGCATCCTGTAAGTAACACGGAAGAAAGATTAACACAAACAGCAACGGCACATTTTTGGAAGAGTTTTGAATAACTTGATGTTTACCTGCCCAATGCTTCACCTCCCAGTTCGCTGGATTTCCCTTCGGCTTTGGCCCAGAGAGCCTTCACCCTGGCCTTGTCTGTGCTGGAAAGACTCATTGCTGCCTTTAGTTTCTCAGCGACAAAATATGAAGATCAAAAGTGCTGCTTTGATGAATTTGTCACTGCGTCTTTATATCAAGCCTAAACGCACCACGCCTCAGAATCAATCCATGCCAAAACTGTGATAACGAAACTGCCACGCAACCCCCCCCCCCCCCCCCTGCCAATTTGGCTCGATAAAAGCTACCACTCCTCAAATTTCACGTAATCCCTACGTAAATGCTGGCTGGTTACAGGAATTACACCAAGGCGCTGCTCTGGATAACGCATCTGTTTTTTTTTTCTACTTATATCTAACTGACTTCTTGAGTTAAATACACAAAATTCACTTAACAAATGTTGAAATCGTTGTAGGCCTACTTGGGGTTTTTCTTATTCAGCAACATGCATTTTTTGCAAGTAGACCTTTTGGCGAAAAAATAAAAAACAAGTTAATAAAAATTTAACCGATATTAAATATTACGCACTCCCGATTTTAAGTGTATTGAACTTGATTCTCCAAAGAAATCATGTTAACTCAACAATCGGTAACAGTCTGTGTTAACGTTTCAGTCTGAAACGCGTTAACAAAAAAGAGAATTGACAACAAAGTAAGAAAATTCACGTTGTCTACAGTTTCAGAATTTTTTTTTTTCCAGATTGATGACGCAACATTTTTTCATTAATTGGTGCCAAAAATGACGGACGTCATTTTATTGGCAAGTGCGCCTCGTCCAATCAGAGCCCGTCTTGTTTGGGGGACGGATCAGTGGGCTGTGAATAAATGCGGGGCTCGTAAACATATTTAGACAGTCTTACACCTTTGATCACCAAACTCGTTTTTTTTTGCGAAAAGTCAGAGGCTTTCACACCGTCATCATGGTCGAATGGACAGACGCCGAGCGCACCGCCATCTCCACCCTGTGGTCAAACCTTGATGTGGGTGAAATTGGTCCCCAAGCCCTGTCCAGGTAACCCCGTGAGCAAATTTTATTCCACGACACAATGACCTCTTGCATCCTGAGGATCGAGATTTTTCACTGTCACTTTTGTGCTTCCAGGCTTCTGGTCGTGTTCCCATGGACCCAGAGGTACTTTCCTACCTTCGGGGACCTTTCCACCCCCGCAGCCATCGCCGCAAATCCCAAAGTGGCTCAGCACGGAAGAACTGTGATGGGCGGCCTTGAAACCGCTGTGAAGAACATGGACAACATCAAGAACGCCTACGCCAAACTGAGCGTCATGCACTCCGAGAAGCTCCATGTGGATCCCGACAACTTCAGGGTGCGTCATCCCTCACACCAAGACGCAATCGCTTGTTTTTAAATTCGTGTCAGTCTGTTCATGCTTGTCGTATTCTGGGCTCATGATTGCAGGTCCTTGCCGAGTGCATCACTGTGGTCGTGGCCGCCAAGTTTGGACCCAGCGTCTTCACCCCTGGTTTCCAAGAGGCCTGGCAGAAGTTCCTGGCCGTGGTGGTCTCCGCCCTGGGCAGACAGTACCACTAAGTGGCCGACCACTGAAGAGCTGCAGCGAAACATCAGTTTCTGAGCAATTAAACGCTGCCAAAAAAAATATATCAATAAAAAACTCAAATCATATGCAAGTGTCCTCTGTAATTATTAATTGTTCACTCCGTTTATAAATAAGATATCAAATAAATATATATCTTTGGTTTCCATTACAGTGAAATAAATAATGGCCAGTGGGGGCAAAAAAGTTGAATAAAGTGAATTTGAATGTTGCGTCTGAAAATGACTCGAAACACCAGCGGGAGAATTAAAACAACAAAACCATAACAGTAATACAAATAAAAAAACACAACAATATTCATGTTCAGATTTTAACTTCACACTGATCTTTCTTCTCTTTAACTTGAACAAAAATAATTTGCTCATCGTCATATTTTTTAAAATGCAATTTAAAAATGAGATCTGACCAGTTATGACTGGACATATTAACCAAGCATATAAACTCCCCTTAATAACATTGGCATCATGTTTTTATTTGGGCGTGGCTGGCCTGATTATTAAGATAATTAACGTTTACGGTTTAATCTCCCGCGAGCAGATGCTGAAAACCTGCTGCGACCAGCAGAGGCGGACAGAAGAGAGAGTTTATGCTCGAAAACAACTTAGTGCTGGTGTCAGGTCATCCATAATGTCACCAGATCTTTTGCCAAACTGACAGTTTTTTATTGCATGACATCATGGTGAAATGGACAGAAGAGGAGCGCCGCATCGTCAGAGGAGTTTGGGAAAAAGTTGATATTGATGAGATCGGTGGAGAGCTTTGGGGAAGGTAGAGTTAGATTTTAGTTCAAACTGAGGCTTTTCAAGTCTTGTTTTAAAACTATGATGATGTGAAATCTCCCTGGAATAGAAGAGGTTATTTCTTTTGATTGAGAGACATTACAGAAACTGAGATGACCTTTTTTGCATGTTGGTTCAGCTGCATGATATTTCAGCACCAGTCGCTGTCCGACTGTTTCTGTTGACTCTTGTTTTTGAAAATTCCTTCCAAGTTGAGGATATTCTTCGAAATGACATGTCAAAAAATAGTTTTCAGCTTTCGATGTGACGGTTTACCGTCTGTAGGCTATATATCGACTATGGTGTGCAATAATCTCATAATCGGCATCGGGTTTCTCACATCGACAGAGCTTTGATTGTTTACCCCTGGATCGAGCGGTATTTCGGCTCTTTTGGCGACATCTTCACCACTACGGCAATTTTAAACAACCCCAAATTGGCCGCCCTGGGAAAGGTCGTGCTATCGGCTCTGGACACAGCCGTGATGAACATGGACAACTTCAAAGCCATGTTCGAGTCTCTGAGCAGGCGGCACTACGAGAAAATCCAAGTGGATCCGGATAACTTCAGAGTAAGCTGCTATCCTGACGAATATTTCATGGGAAAGCCGTCTAAATTTATTGGGTATAAAAATAAATAAATAAATTCAGCCAGTGACAAGTGACACCAAACGTACAAGAAAGGGTGTTTGCTCTAGTGACTCAACACGTTTTACAAATGCATGGGATATTGTTCCCCAAATTTATGATATTGTTCTCTTCCCCAGCTTTTGGCCGAATGCATTACAATTACCATCGCCTGCAGACTCAGAGCCGAGCTGAACCCTCAGGTCCAGGCCACCTGGCAGAAGTTTCTGTCTGCTGTGGTGGAAGCTATGAGCAGTCAGTACAAATGAAAAAGCAGACCCAATCAATTTACTACTGAATAAAACTCACGTTTTCAAAAGCGCTTATGTGCTTGTCAACATGTGGGAAAAGAGCGCAAGTGCTTGAAGATTTGCAGAAGCGCACATGGTGGTGGCCTGTGTGTAAGTTGAATTTTTACGACCCCTGGCGGCAATAAAGTATATAACAGACCACTGTGAAATCAGTGTTGATCTTTTATGTTCACTGTATCTTCTTCAGCTCCAAACGGGGTCAGCAGATAGAATAACAAAGCTTGTATAGAAACAGGAGTTCTCACTTCAATATAAATATGTATCTGTGTCTCATAAGGTTTTGATTAAAACAATTATTCTTCATTTCATAATGATTTGCAGAAGTCACTCAAGTAGACCTGAAAAGTACAGTAAAATTACTCCTGAAAGTAATGTTGCATCCTTAAAACATTACTCAGGTAAATGTAACAACACCTCTGGATATTAAAATGAATAGAAAATGTCCTGAAAGGCTATAATCCCAGCAAGAACCATATAAAATGTTAAGGCTTTAACCAAGAAATTTAGGTTTGACATTTAATGTCACACTGAATGTCTTTTTCTTTTCTCTCTTTGACCAGCCGAGGCTTAAAAAGCTGTTAAACATTTTTTAAGTCTTAGTTTTCCTTAGTCAGAGTGAACAAGAAAAAAGAAGGTTTTTTTTTTGTGTGAAAATAGAGCAGTCGGCTAGTGACAGCAATAGATTATATACAGTAAAATAAATAAATAAATAAATAAATGTTTTTATGTCCATTGGTTTTGCCACAAGAGGGCGCTAAAACGCCGTTGCAAAAATTTTAACAATGTCTCAGAGACTGGGTTTTGCATACATTTTTGCTCCAAAACTGTATGCAAAATGTCTGTTGCCATGACGTTTTTAAAAATGTCATGTTAATATTTTTTAATAAATATTTTCTACTTATTTTATGCTGGCTATCAACTGCAATTCCTACAAATAAAAAAAGTACAGAATCAATAATCTAGTCAATTTAACTTTATTTAATTTAACTTTATTCAAATGTTGACATATATGGATAACTATTAAAGAAGGTGGGAAAATAACATTTGACCTCCAAATATTATATCATTATCTATCTTGATATCAACTGTTTATCGTCATTTTATTATATTACATAATTGTAATAATAGTAATAATAATTACTATTACGGCTAATACTACTAGTAATAAATCTAATTATAAAAATAACTTTTGTTTTTACAATTACTACTATTGGTAGTAGCATTAGTAGTAGTATTTCTAAATGAAGTTCCAAATAAGACAAACTGGGGACTAAGTGGCTGTAGACGTTAGACATTGTGAATACTATCAACAAACAAAAAAATCTCCCTTCACAAAAAGTCATTAAAACTCTACATGTATGTTTTAGACAGGCTGAGATTGATTAAAAAAAAAACAAAACAAACTTAATGTAATTAAATGAAACAGGCAGGAAGTGAAATGTTTAACTGAAGCTTGAGCAGCAGACAGTGAGGCCTCAACACGCCTATCTGCCCCCCTCCTGCGGCAGGAGGGGGCAGGAGGGGTCAGATAGGCATAGAAGCATAGTTGATGGTGGCAACTTTTACCGCATCAGAAAATATATTGCAACCCACTGATAACCAGGAATGAATTAAAAAAAATGGTCAAGATTTTAAATCAGTACCATGGGACTGTCCTTGATAAGAGACCATAGATTTATCATCTATCGATTATGAACCAAATCCCTTTCATACGTCCAGGCTCTCTGGTTTTGTGTGTTTGGGTTTTCTGTTGTCATTAGTTTATTTTGACCTTTGTAAAAATGTATTTGTGACTCTTCAATCCCTTATTTGAAGGGTAAACATCAAATAAGTTTGAAGTTTACTAGTTTACATAGCTATGATTTTCTTTAGTGGTATGTGTTTTCCAAAGTACTAAAACCATGCATATTTAATGTCAACAAAATGGATAAAATACACACTTAACTAAATAATGATACAACTTTAAAACAATCATTTAACTTGTTTAAATTTTGAACTTGATCACATTGCTTTTATAGAAAAAAGTTCTCTTTCACATTTAATGAGAAGTTCAAAGTGAAGCTGCTGTATTTTGTAGAGGTTACTGTGAGCTGCTCCTCAGAGCCTCAGAGCCCGACTCTCGATTTTGTTTACAGCTTATCTCATCTAAGCTGCAACACTTTGCTTGGAAGGCGTCCAATCAGAGATATCTCGGAGGTGTCCCTGCCATGCCCAAGCCCCGTTTGTTTCCTATAAAAACCCCCACCACTTGCCGCTGATCGTGGCATTCAACCCAAAACAATCAACCAAGAAGATGAGTCTCACTGCCAAGGACAAAGAAATAGTCAAAGCCTTCTGGGGTAAAGTGGCTTCCAAGGCTGAAGACATTGGCCAGGATGCTCTGTCCAGGTAACAAAGACCTCTTTGTCACTGATGTTACCTGAACTCTATTTTTCTGGGTTTATTTACACACTCACATTCTGTTAGGATGCTGGTGGTTTACCCACAGACCAAGACCTACTTCTCCCACTGGAAGGACATAAGTCCTGGTTCTGCTCCAGTGAAGAAGCACGGAGCTACGGTGATGGGTGGAGTAGCTGATGCTGTGGCCAAAATCGATGATCTGACCGCAGGTCTCTTGAACCTGAGCGAGCTGCATGCTTTCACTCTCAGAGTGGACCCTGCCAACTTCAAGGTACAATAGTGATCAACAGTTGGGACTGTAATGACACCCTGCAAGTCAAGTCGATGGATTTAACACAGCAACTTTGAAATAAAAAGATTAAGTTCCTGATATATTAAATTCTAGATTTATTTATTTATTTTTAAAGTGACCGCAGAGGTGTTATAGGACTCCACTGATACTTCCATTTGTGGGTCCAGTAAAATATTTAAATAATTTACATTAACAGAAATCAATTGAATTTTAGCAGGAACTATTGCATTTTCATGCAAAAGTTTCAATTATTAATGGCAGTTTTCTCATATTTTTCTTTTTCATGATGCTCTATAATGATTATTATTGAACATTTAGTTTATTTTTAAATGAATAAATATGTGCAACATCTTTATGCACTATTATTTGCATTTTATTTCACTTTTTTTATTTTGATATTTGTTTATTTTAAAATGAAAACCAGAATAGTTCCTAATTTTTTTATTGAACTTATTTCAATATAGACTACATAGCTGTTATCTCTCTCTTATTTTTTTCTTTTAATATTGATATTATAAATAATTTAATTTAATTTAATTTATCCTTTTTAAGATTTATTTTTAGTTTTTTATGGCATTCATGCAATCCATATATAGGAATGTAGACTATTCCATCTCTCCTCCGTCCCTTATTTGTGGCTTTCTTTCCTTCTTTCTCTGTTTCTTTATTTTTCATGTTCTTTGTTTCTTTCTCTTTTTCTTTCTATTTTTTTTTTTTTTTTTTTTGCAAAACAAAATTGCAATTATTTTAAACAATCAATTTTTCACAGATTCTGGCACACAACATCCTTGTGGTCTTTGCCATCAAGTTTCCCTCTGACTTCACCCCTGAGGTCCATGTGGCTGTGGACAAGTTCTTGGCTGCTCTGGCCCGTGCCCTCTCTGAGAAGTACAGATAAACTGGACACCTGGAGAAGATAAAAGACATGATAGTACAGCTTCCAACAGTCTGAATATGAATAAAAGACCAAAAGCATGGAAAGTGTAATTTATTTCTGGGTTTTGTGTGAGTTTGTGTGTCTCAGTATATCTCTAGTTTTTTTTTTTTGCTGGAGGTTAAGTTCTTTTAGTACATCCTCTTTTTGTTTTTTTTAATCAAACAGATGATACACATGGGATGTTCCCAAATCTTTCTGCTTCCAATCTAAACAAAAATAATTGTAATGGCGTTTATATTTTGATGTAGAGTGAAAAACTGATGGCGCCAGTACGATTCTAAAACTTTTGCTGCAGTTCTGAATCAAGTTTACATGCATTTCAGGAAAGATTTCAGGCCGTTGCTTCTTTACTGGAAGACTCTTTGAGTTTCTTTTTTTTTGTACTGAAACTTATAAATGTGCTTTCACACTCATTTGATAATTCTTTCATTTTCCAGTAATTGCTCACATGATTCAGAGCTGACAATTAGCAGTCAGACTGACCTAAATTCAGGAAAGGGCCTGATTGTGAAACTTTCCACTGCTATGTTTTGCTGTCTGTCTTACCAAGTCGGTCACCTTCTAATGCCACTAGTGACTTGTGAGCATAGCTTGTTCAGAGTTCTTCTGGTAGCAAACTTACAAGTAATCCCATTTGTCATTTTCATATTTAATCATTTTATGTTTTAAAAGCACACTGAAATTTTGATCAAAAATCCACTAACTTGGTCTGAAGTCAAATTTTTTAGTCAAGATCAGTGTTATTGTCTCAAATTTAGTGCCTCATATCCTACTCTCTCTTTTTGGTAACCCCACAATTTATTATTATTTTATTATTATTTCTTATTAAAAAAAATGTATACTAAAAACATTCAGCTTTGTTTAGAACAAAGCAGATGGGATTTGACTGACAATACAGCGCAGGTCAACTACCATTTATTTTCTTTTTTTATTTGTTTTTCAGTTCCTAAAAGAAACTAAACATTTATGTTTTTGTTTATTGAGGAATTATTTCCAGCTTCTTCTTTTTTGTGTGTGTAATTTTACTAATCAACATAATCTGTTTTCATCAACTTAAATAAGTCTAACTGATTGGGCTTTATCCACTTAGACCAAATCAGACAAGTCTATATTTTAATGAGTGAAGAGAGCAGTCTTTCCATTTTGAGGAAAATTAGCTGAGTTAAATATAAATTACCCAATTATATATTGATTATCAGTTGAATAAGGAAGCAATTTATTAAATATCAAAATATTAGTGAAGGATTTTTCAGTATTTCTTCATGACTTGACATCTGATTCAGATTTCATTTACGTACGAAATAAGAAAGTTATAAACATGTAGGCCTGTCACAATAACAAATTTTGCCCGGCGATTAATTGTCTCAAAAATTATTGCGATAAATGATAATATTGTTTCAAGACCTTTTTACACTGATTTAATGGAAATGACAGATAAATACACTTTATTTTCAAAAGAACCTTTAACACTGGAATTGATAAATAAAACAAACAAAACAATCTAAAACAAAAATAAAATGGATTATGAGTCTCCATTGACAAAAAAAATTACTTTTATGAAAACTAAACAACATAAAGCCAAAGTGGAAATAAATAGAACCAAAAGGATGCAGATTCTGAAGTCTGTCCTTCAGTAATCATTAGATTTAAATAGAGAAAATCAGGCAGCTCCGACTGCCTGATCTTCCCACTGTTAACCCGCCTGTGACAGGAAGCCAATCAGAAAGCGCGGATTCTCCTCGCGCTTTCTGAGGGGAAACACGGAGGGGAATCCCAAACAGCTGACATCGGAGACGATTTGTGGAAACAACTTCAATGTTTATTCAGCATTTCGTGCAAAGAATATAGAAATGACAAAGGAAGGAGTTGAAGCGAAACCTGCAACCTGGTAACCTTTCAGCTGTTCTTCGTTAACTTGACATAAATAGGTTATAATGATTTTCATTCAGTCAGGACTTTACGCTAACGCTAGCTACATACATTGCAAGTAGATTGTAGTAAAACGTTGATTAATGCCTGGTTTTAAAATGAGTTAACTGGAGTTGTAGCTATTATTTTGTGCACATTGTTGGACACCACACGACGCGAACCCGAGCGAACAGTTGCACTTAGGATTTCTGCCAGCTCATGTGTCTCTCAGGTTTTGATGATGGACCGACAATCCGCGACATAAGGTCGTATAGTGAGTGCTGGGAATTACACTAAGGAAATGAGGAAGGGAGGGTCAGTGGAGAGCACCGGAGTTGAGCCTTTTAAATTTTTTTCCATCAGAAAAAGGCTGGAAGAAGCGATATAGCCGATAATTAAAATGAGGTCGATATATTTAATTTATTGTGCGATTAATTGATTTATTGTTTATCGTGGCAGGCCTATAAACATGATAATGAGGAATAAAGACAGAGACAACAAAATAATTCATTAAATGTGCTCATTTATTTATCTAATCATTCATAGCCTCCTCCTCCTGAAAATGAGAAGTGCATCCAGATCCAGATCTCTGAGAGCATCCTGGATGAGGCTCTCTAGTGGTACTGCTTCCTCAGAGAGGCCACCACTACAGCCAGGAACTTCTGAAGAGCTCCCTGGACTTCAGGGGTGAAGGCTGTCCCCAACTGACCAGCTACAACAATGGTCAGGCAGTCTGCCAGGAGCTGCAACAGAACACAACATGGGTCAGAAAGCAGCAGCAGCATTAATACCCGTGGTGTAACGACAAGAAGAAAACAGCTTTACGTTGAAGTTGTCGGGGTCCACTTGCAGTTTCTCAGAGTGCAGCACGCTCAGGTCTTTGTATGTGGTCTTAACGTCGTCCATGTTCTTCACAGCTTTCTCCAGACCTGCCATGATGACCTTTCCGTGAGCCGCCACTTTGGGGTTTGATGTTATGGCCGCAGCATTGTAGAGGTTTCCAAAGCCGCCAAAGTACCTCTGAGTCCAGGGGTAGACAATCAGAACCCTGAAGAGACAAAAAGATCATAAAAGTGAATAAAACCACAAATTAATACATTTTTGGGTAAGGAAAATAGATTTTTAAAACTTTTTTTCACCTGGAGAGAGCTGCACGGCCAACAACATCATAATCGATCTTGGAGAAGATGTCCTGGATGGTGGCACGCTCGAAGTCTGACCATTTGACCATTTTGGAGTTTTTGTTTGGCTGTTTTCTTTGTCAAGTGTGAGTCTTCAGGCCCAAGAGATCCAACTTATAGACAGCCAGTTTCTGCTCCTCCCAAAATTATCAGATGGGTGGAGCTAAGCAGAGAGCTGATGGAATATTGATTTATTGATTTTCTAAAATAGGAGATTAAATAAACTGTGGTGTAAATTCTGCTTGATGCCTGAGAAAAACTCACTGGACTGACGGAATGCTGTTGGCTGGTGCTTAAAAACAAAAACCCGGGGAAATAACATCATACTGGAGTCTTGAAATGTAGATAATGTTTAAAATTACACTTCAGTTTGTATTCGAAATAGCAATTTTTATTAATTTTATTTAACTTAATTCAATTCATTTGAAACCGTTCTATTTTTAAGCACTGTGAAGTTAACTAAAAGAACCAAAATTAAATTGATATTTAACTTTAGCTTTCTGTTATTTGTAAAAGCCTGATTGTTTCTGAGAGTGAAGCTCTGCAACATTTTAACAATGTAAAATAAACAAAATGAACTAAGCTGGTAATGAGGGTAATGTGCAGATTCAACCCTATAATCTACTGAGAATGTTGCAAATTAACTTCAGAGTAAAGCTTTTTTTATTTTCGTGAACATGATAGATTAAGCTCCATTATGGGTTACTTACTTTTAAAGAATACATTTTTCTGATTTCTTTAAGCTTGACTAGAATAATAGGACTTATTTTCATTCAGATTTGTGAAGGATTTCATTATTTAATTCTTTTAAATTAAAACCAGAGAGCTGCATGTATCTCTGGGCGTTTTCAGCATTGAGACTGAAACGTTTTTTCTGTCCTGCTGTTCGAATCTGATAAAGACATCAGGTGGGGGGAAAAGGTAACAGACAGTTTGGGTTTGTCCAACGTTTTCCGGATCATAAAAAGAAAGACGGGGAGACTGGACCAAATTCAAGAGTTTCCTTCCACACAGCAAAAGAAATGCAATTAATTAAAGACCTGCAACTGCTTTTAATAAATGAAAATTCTAATTTTATGGAAATAATTATGAGAGCTGCTTTTATTTCCCTGTGAATTAAATAATTAGAACATTTGTGGTTTCTAAACTTTTTTGTCAACATCATCACCAAAATAAATCTATATGTTTTTACAAACTAAAATTACAAAATGTATATTGGGTATTTCATTTATTTGTTCAGCAATAAATGAATCAATAAAGTATACCAGCTTTTTATAAGAAGGAGGTGCAGAAATCCTGATAGTCAAAGTTTAAAAAGGGTTTTGAACATTTATCTTGGTAAAACAACGGCGTCCCGTTTGCAAATTCTTTAAGGCTCAATGGAAAATAAATAAGCAAATTAATATAACATATTCTTTACAAAAAATGTAAAATAAAAATTTTTACATTTTTTATTTTACAAGATGCAATTTTATATTTTGTAGATTTGTTCTAAAGAAGTATGTTTTTTAGAACCACTGTTTCTTTAAAAACAAAATTTGAGTCCCCAAAAGTCCGCTGAAAGTCATTACATAGATGAGGCCCTTTATACTATGAAATTATTGAGATGGCAAAAAGTGTTGTTATTAAAAGATGAATTTTAGAAGATCCAGTTTGTTTAATTTTGGACACACAAGGCAGCATAAGGGCCACAAATTGCCCTGAGCCACACTTTGTTCCCCGTACTGCTACTTGATAGTTTCTAATTCTTTTTCCCCAACTTGACATTCTAATACATAAATTTAACCCTTCAATTTCATTTCCTTCAATCCAATAACAGTAACAATGATGCTAGCAACACACTTATAACATACATTTGACACGAGTTGTACATTTTATTTTGGAGATTTATATTTACAGCCTTTCAAATGACAATGAGACATGGTGAACATCTCTACGCTATTTAAGTAAGCTAAATAGCACATACTTTTATTTATTTCTATTCACACATATTCTAATTAAAAAGCTGCAATAAACTGTTAAGATTTGTTATCACTCCCTTGTCACTGTTACGTCAATGTGCTCTCCAGCGCCTGCGTGACAAAACTGATTTTTGTCTTTATCTAGTTTGGGAGACGTCAAACACAGATATCTCCTAGGTGTGTCCATGTCCATGTGTCAACTATAAAACCCCTCACAGTCCTGCAGAACGTTCAGACTGGAAAAAAAAAAAAAAAACAAGCAAAACATTTACTACAAAGATGAGCCTCACAGCTAAGGACAAGGACACAGTCAAGACTTTCTGGGCCAAAATATCAGCCAATTCTGCAGAAATCGGCACAGATGCTCTTTCCAGGTAAACACCCCAAAAACATAGATTTTAAAGTTTTGTCTAAAGATTAAAAGTTCTTTTTCAGTTTTTTTTTTTTTTTTTTTTAGGATGCTGGTGGTTTACCCACAAACCAAGACCTACTTCTCCCACTGGACGGACCTGAGCCCGGGCTCTGCTCCGGTGAAGAAACATGGGGCCACAGTGATGGCTGGAGTTGGTGACGCTGTGGCTAAAATTGATGATCTGAGAGCAGGTCTGCTTAGCCTCAGTGAACTGCATGCCTTCACTCTGAGAGTGGACCCAGCAAACTTCAAGGTACAGCATGCCCTCCTCCAGCAGAGCTCTTGAAACATTTTTGATCAGCTATATTCATGTACGTTGCAGCCGGACTTATACTTATCTGCTCTTTCCAGGTGCTCTCCCACAACCTTCTTGTGGTTTTGGCCATCATGTTCCCCAACGACTTCACCCCTGAGGTCCATGTGGCCATGGATAAGTTCCTGGCTGCCGTGGCGCTGGCTCTGTCCGAGAAGTACAGATGAACTTCACCTTGGAGCGAAATGGCTGAACAGAAGATATGCTGCCTTTATCTTTTTTGGCCTTCAGTTTGAATAAAGTAATTAGTACAATTTTAAGTGGTTGTTTTAATTAATCTGTCTTTTCTCAATCACTCACATATGAGTTTCACTTTAGCCTCATGTCAACTTAGAAGTTAACATATCTGTCTGCACCAATCAGAAACTCAACAAAAACACAACAAAAACTTTTTTAAAAAATCTTTCATTTATTACTTGAGTAAAATGATTTGTGTAATTACTCTTAGAATAAGTGACTGTGAAATTACAATACTCTGAAAACAGTTTCTATTGTTTTCTTTTTTTCAATGTCTAAAATATGATTACATGACCTGATAAGAGTTTTACTCTGAAAATATTCTTTATTCCCCTTAAAAGTATTTTTTAGGAATTAAAAGAAAATTTCAAAACCCCGTGAGCACATGCTTAATGAAATATGATTTTCAGTTAACTTCATATTTTGGCTTTAAGATATTTTCCCCAGATTTCCTCATTCAAACTTGTCATCTTTGTGACTTTTTTAGTAGATTTTTAAACAGCCTTCCCGTTACAATGTTTTATTCAGCTGAAATTTTACCATCATGAATGATTTCATTTGCCAAATCGATGTTTTTGTTTTAATGTTCGCATCTTACCTTATGTCATATTTAATAAAAATGTGCAATGTCTTACATGATTTCTTTTCACCACATTTGTTTTGCATTTTATGTATTTTATTTGAGCACAGAAGCAATAACAATAGATTAAACTTTGTCTAATAATTCTAAAAAGTGCTTGACTTTCAGTGTTTTCTCTGTTAACATTCTATTGTCTGATAATAGCTCAGACAATAGAATGAATAAAATTCACACAATAAGTATACACATTTTGATGTATGATTTTACTTAGTTTGTCACTGGCTAGTCAAGCCCATTTTTGACATTTTGTTCAGGATCCAGAAATTAGTTCAAATTAAGGTAATATTTTGAAGAACTGACTGGTTCTCACCAGAAGCTGTAAATGAATACATTTATGGAGTCATCTTTGGTGACCAAAACTGTTGCTTTTTTCCACAACTGTTGGAACCCTTTTTCAGGGATTTGGAAAAGGGTTATAAATATAAAAAGTAAAGCTTCCTAAATCCTCAGCTCTCAGTTTCATTTGCACACACAGTGAGCACAGGTCATGTGAAATGGCAAAAATAATATCTCACTACTTTGTATTTTCCATATTGGTGCAGTAATCTGGATATGCTTCGTTTCTACCACTTTGATTTTTTTTCTCTCTCTGTGCCCAGAGATCAGAGGGTGCAGCTGTTAAAGTGTGCTTTCAAAGTCTCCCTGATTTACTGAAATGAGAAGATAACTTGAAACTTGTCATTCTGAGCTCATCTCAGCTTTGCTTTTGACAATAAGGATTTTCTTGTTTATTCATTGGGCATTTTGCCTTACTCTCACTAAGCCTGAAAACAGATATTCTGGATTTTTATGCTCCGATTCTCAAGTGCCAAAATTAACTGGCAGATTCATTAGTGCCAGTAAAGCTTGACTTGCCAATTCAGTCATGTAATTTCTCAAATCATGACCAAAGATTTTCCAAGAGCATTTTATGACTTTAATACAGTTGACCACAGTGGATAGTACATTTGCCAAACTGTATCCACTGAAAGTTTTTGCATGTGAACCTAAATAGATGGTGAGCTTCTGTCCTTAATGTCTTTAGACTTTTACCTTTTTTTTTTCACTATGGACTTGACATGTAATATCCAAGTATGGCCATATTATTTTAACAAATGTAACTGAAGATGAAGATCGGTGTGTATTAAAATAAGTAAAGAAACATAAACAAATAAAAAATATATAATAGGTTCATTAGAATGCATTATTTCTCCAATCACTTATTGTATGAAGATGCTGCACAGCACAGCATGGAAACATATGGCTACATACTATGTTAAACTTTCTATCACGTAAACCATGTTTTTGTAAAATGTTTTTCCTATTGGAAATAACTGACTGTGCAAAACAAACGTCACCACACAAACAACAACTGACAATTTAACTCAGATTTTTACTTATTTATTTCTTTTATTAAGGTTGAAAACAGACAAAACAAGGGGTCCATGTTGTCCGTCGCTTCCTGCTTTGTTTGCTGTTCATCTGTACTTCTCGGACAGCGCACGAGCCACAGCAGCCAGGAACTTGTCCATGGCCACATGGACCTCAGGAGTGAA